CAAAGGCTGCCACGTCGCACCAACCCCTCGGCTCGGGAGATTTTCCCGAGGTTGTCACGAACATGGCGGGGGGGTGCTGGCAGTGTGACAGCTGCTGCAGCTAACTGGTAGAGGGCGTCCCATTGGCCTACGAGAAACTGCTGTAAGCGGTTTTCCATCGCCGGCCAATCCGGTCGTTTAGGCGAAGACAGATGACGAGTTAGGCGGGGGAGGAAAAGTAACAACCGCCAGCCCCCGATTGAAGTTGGATTTTTGGCGAGGAAAAGAAGGGGCGTCAGCAGGGCCAGCGCGAATAGCTGACGAATAGGGGGGGGTAACCGCCTCGAAAGAGGGGGCTGGCGACTGTCGCACAGCACCGCGATATCCCAGCTGGCAAGTTGGGCGAATGGTGAAGCATCGCTGGCCAGTTCTTCCGCGGACAGTTGCCTGGCTGCCAGGGAGGGAGAAGCCAGTGGTGCCCGAGCATCTAGCGCACCAACCGGTCCAGGGCCCCTAGATCTGGGGAGAGGGGTTTGGGATCCCCCTCCCTATCCGCATTGGTGCCCTTTCCTCCAGTGCTTCATTGGACTCCTCTGTGGTCGATTCCAGGTGCGGTTCCTGGATATAAGTGCTGTCTCTCCTTTCTTCCTCCTCGGTTGCTTCCCTTAGTCCCATCTCCCTTAAAGCCCGTTTCGCAGCCTGCTGGAAACCGTTCAGCGGGGCGCCGTCACGCGACAAGTCGCATGTCCGAACTCGTCCGCGCCCGCGCCCTCGGCCTCCCCAGCCCCTAGTGCCGCCTTCCTTGCCTCTGCCACGTCCCTCTGTCCCTCCAGCCGACGCGCGCCGTCCGATCCGTCGCGCGGGGGAGGCCGCAGGGGGCGGTTGGGCCCACGATGAATCCCCCCCTGGAGGCGTTCGGTGAGGAGCGTCCCCGCCGCGAGCGCTCCCACGATCTCGAGAGCACTGGGGAGAGCGTCCTCCACCGAGATCGGCCGAGCTCCCCGCCGCAGTCGAATCACGATTGGGAGTGCATGCTCTCCGTCCCATCAACGAGCCGTCAGCAGGCCCCAGAGCGCATGTCCGGGCGGTCGGGAAGCCGCCACGTAACTCCACAGCGGCGCGAGCGGAAGACCCTTGGGCGCGCGAGCCATGGCCGGCAGAGTGCGACGCCGCAACGGCAACGGCAGCAGCAGCAGCTGCAGCTGGACCCTCCGCGCCAAGGGACGCCCCAGGGCGCGGCGCAGGCGCCGCCCGCTCAGCAGCCCCGGACGCCGCAGGGGCAGCGCGGGCAGACCGGCCAGCGCCGCGGGTGGAGAGCTGGCGGAGGGAACGGTCGGGGTTCAGCTGCGGAGAGGCGGCTAGGCCGCGCCGCCGCGACATTGGAGAGCCTGTTCTGCTCGGTTGCCCCGCCTCAGCCGCCGCCTGCGTATCTTCCACAGCAATATCCGTCCGCGCAGGTGCAGCCATCGCATTTCCTCCCGCTGCAAATGCCGCCTCAATCCCTTCCGCCGCACGTGTCTGCGGCGCAGCAGCCGCCGCCTTGCCAGCAGCACCCTCCGCCGCCTCCTCCCCCTGTCCCCCAATACCAGCCCCTGCAGCCACCCTGCCTTCGCTACGCGCTACGTCCGTCGGCTGCACCGACGGGCGTGCCGACAGTGTGGACGCTGCCAAGCTGGCAGCCACCACTGTTGGAGACATCGGCGGTGGGCTGGCACGATGGCTAGCTGCAGCCGATGGCCTCGATGTCCTTTGGTGCACGGACGGATGGGCCGTTTCTTCCCCCCCGGCGGGCAATAGCCTCGCCGACTGGAGTTGAGGGAGGGGGCAGAAGCAGCGGGGATGGGGGGGGCGGAGTCCTCGGGTGAGGGCTCTCCACGTGAGGGATCGGAGCAGTGCCGCTCGGGCGGATTGCAGATGCAGCCGAGGGTGCAGTTGGAGCGGCTGCGAGGGCGGGAGCGTCTCACGGAGACGGCGATCCCAGTCGCCATGCTTCGTCGGCTTTGGCACGCGCGGCGGGCGATGGGGATCGATGTGGGGATGCTGACAGACTCGCACTCAGTGCTACAGAACTTAGCGAGCCCGTGCAGGATGCCCCATGATCCTCTTCACCGATGTGCGATGGCTCCAGCTGATCTCGCATTCGTGTCGACGCGAGTGCAGCCTGCGCCCGCCCCGGGAACAGTGTTGGACCCCCAGGTGCTCATCGTGATGCGTGCAGTATCGGCGAGCATAGACTCGAATGCAGCTGTAGACATCGTTGGCGGCGCCGTGTCAGCCCTCCAGCTCCTAGTGGGCTACGTGATGGTGCTGCTGGAGGAAGCGGGAGCAGACCAACTCGCGTGACCAGCTCCCTCCGCACGTATGTGCGCGTGGGAGACAGGACCTCCAGCGCGAGTGCCTCGGTACGGCGGATTAGACTCTCCATGTCGTGGGTGTAGGATGTCGAAAGTGTGTGCTTGTGGGTCCTTGAGGCTGTGGTTGTTGTATCCTCGTGTCGACAAGTTGTTTGTTGAATAATTGCCGCCCCCATTAGCGCTATGCATCCCCCTCTCACTCGCTCTGCATCCCTCTCACTCGCTCTGCATTCCCCTCTCACTCGCTCCGCATCCCCCTCTCACTCGCCCCGCATCCCCCACTCACTCGCTCTGCATCCCCCTCTCATTCGCTCCGCATCCCCCTCTCACTCGCCCCGCATCCCTCTCTCACTCGCTCTGCATCCCCCTCTCACTCGCTCTGCATCCCCCTCTCACTCGCTCTGCATCCCTCTCACTTGCTTTGCATCCCCCCTCCCACTCGCTCTGCATCCCCCTCTCACTCGCTCTGCATCCCCCTCTCTCTGGCTCTGCATCCCCCTCACCCGCTCCACATCCCCCTCTCACTCGCTCTGTATCCCCCTCTCACTCGCTCTGCATTCCCCTCTCACTCGCTCCGCATCCCCCTCTCACTCGCCCCGCATCCCCCACTCACTCGCTCTGCATCCCCCTCTCATTCGCTCCGCATCCCCCTCTCACTCGCCCCGCATCCCTCTCTCACTCGCTCTGCATCCCCCTCTCACTCGCTCTGCATCCCCCTCTCACTCGCTCTGCATCCCTCTCACTTGCTTTGCATCCCCCCTCCCACTCGCTCTGCATCCCCCTCTCACTCGCTCTGCATCCCCCTCTCTCTGGCTCTGCATCCCCCTCACCCGCTCCACATCCCCCTCTCACTCGCTCTGTATCCCCCTCTCACTCGCTCTGCATTCCCCTCTCACTCGCTCCGCATCCCCCTCTCACTCGCCCCGCATCCCCCACTCACTCGCTCTGCATCCCCCTCTCATTCGCTCCGCATCCCCCTCTCACTCGCCCCGCATCCCTCTCTCACTCGCTCCGCATCCCCCTCTCACTCGCTCTGCATCCCCCTCTCACTCGCTCTGCATCCCTCTCACTTGCTTTGCATCCCCCCTCCCACTCGCTCTGCATCCCCCTCTCACTCGCTCTGCATCCCCCTCTCTCTGGCTCTGCATCCCCCTCACCCGCTCCGCATCCCCCTCTCACTCGCTCTGTATCCCCCTCTCACTCGCTCTGCATCCCCCTCTCACCCGCTCCGCATCCCCCTCTCACTCGCTCTGCATCCCCCTCTCACTCGCTCTGCACCCCCCTCTCTCTCGCTCTGCATCCCCCTCTCACTCGCTCTGCATCCCCCTCTCACACGCTCCGCATCCCCCTCTCACTCGCCCCGCATCCCCCTCTCACTCGCTCTGCATCCCCCTCTCATTCGCTCCGCATCCCCCTCTCACTCGCCCCGCATCCCTCTCTCGCTCGCTCTGCATCCCCCTCTCACTCGCTCTGCATCCCCCTCTCACTCGCTCTGCATCCCTCTCACTCGCTTTGCATCCCCCCTCCCACTCGCTCTGCATCCCCCTCTCACTCGCTCTGCATCCCCCTCTCTGGCTCTGCATCCCCCTCACCCGCTCCGCATCCCCCTCTCACTCGCTCTGTATCCCCCTCTCACTCGCTGTGCATCCCCCTCTCACACGCTCCGCATCCCCCTCTCACTCGCCCCGCACCCCCCTCTCACTCGCTCTGCATCCCCCTCTCACTCGCTCTGAATCCCCCTCTCTCTCGCTCCGCATCCCCCTCTCACTAGCTCTGCATCCCCCTCTCTCTCGCCCTGCGCCGTCGGTCGTGGATGCGTCGCGGATATGCCTCTGGGCGGTGGTTTCTTTCGGTATAATGCCCTAACTGGAGAAGCGCTGCCTCTCGCTCTATGTTCAGCACCATTGCTAGCTGACTTTGCACTCACATATCCCCGCTATGCCTAGGTGAACGTGTGGGCTTCTCTCGAATGGCGTGCCATTTTGCAATCCACCGATATTAGACTTGCGCGAAAGATATCCACCGATATTAGACCCGCGCGAAAGATATTCACCGATAGAAGGCCTGCGCGCGATAATTTATTGATATCCACCGAGTTTTAGACTGGGTGCGAGCTTACTCTGAGTTGCTGGCAAAAAAAGAACACCACGCTACCAGAAATCTTGATATTGCATGCATATGGGCTGCGGAAGTTTCTTCTGCCTGTTTGCCGCTATGATGTGGCTGGTTGATGCTGTGACGCGGTAGCCTAGTTTGTGTGCTACTGTCACAGTGTTGCTGTCGACTGTCTGTTGTGCTTCACTAGTATTCTTTCCCCAACCTCGTTTGTTTGAGTTTTGGTTAGCCTACCTCAAATTTTGTATTTGCGAGTTTCGAAAACCAATTTCCAGACCTTTAGCTCTAGCCCCAACTCCAGCCGCGCTCTTTTCGCGGCTTGTAACTTGGGACCTGGGCTTTAAAAAGTTTCGATACGTTCGTGCAGTTCAGTTCGGTCCGAGACAAATTGTCACTATGCTGTGGGTGTCATAGGATGGTTTGACAGCGTGGGTTTTTGGGAGCTCTGAAACTGTATCTCCACCCAACCCTTCATTTCCCTCCCTGCCTGTCGACTAGCTTTGTGGAACAAGTACATCCAGCGGACAAACCCCGAACCATCTTCACTACTCCGCACAGGCAACTGGGGGTATGCCACCATACCTCTACAACCAGCCTGAAGGCTGCTCGATCTCAGTGCGTCGCGCTCCCACGCCCTCACCCCCATCCGCCCCAGTGCCAAGAACCGCTTCAATGGTTCATTTTCGAATTGCCTCATGTGCTTCTTTCTCCCCTCGTTTAATGGGTGGATGAGAACGAGGGGACGGACAACAGGTGAATATAGAATGAAGGTAGACGAATTATGCTCATTTTCTGTTTCAAATGCTACAGCAATGTCAACGACATGGGGAAAAGGAAAAAAAACAACCCAGACCTAAAACCGAAATTGTACATACCAAAATTGCTCTCAGAACAGTGCCTTCGCACTTATTCCATCACGCCGAAATCAGTTCACCCGCCTTCAGGAAGATTGGCGAAGAGTGACGAAGAGTTACTCCTCGTCGTCGTTGATGAACTTGCCCGTGCCGGGGTTGATCGCGGCGATGAAGAAAAGCGCGATACTCGCCAGAATCAGGGGCTCGATCTCCCAAATAGGCACGCCCGTCTCGATGTTCAGCTGCGCAAGCGCACCCTTCCCAGTGATCACCTCGCCCACGAGCGACGCGGCGAACCCTAGTTGCGCCATGCGTCCCACGAAGAGCTCGTTCGCCTTCGAGAACCCGAACAGCGGGCCGTCTTCGCTCAGGCCGAGCGCGGACCGCAGGCTCCCGGGCTTCGCGGGGACGAACCGCGGGACCTCCTCGTCGACGAAGCGCCCGCGGTCACCGAGCGCGCCGATGGCGCCGAGCACGGTGAAGCCGATGAAGAAGAGCAGCAGCGGCTCGGCTTCCGTGATGGGGATGCCGGTCTCGAGGTTCAGCTGCCCGAGAATGCCGCGTCCGTCGACCGCCTCGCCGATGAGCGACGCGGCGAAACCGAGCATGGCGACGCGGCCGACGAAAAGCTCGTTAGCCTTCGTGAAGCCGAACCCGCCGGAGGTGCCGAAGATGCCGTCCTCCGTGCGAAGCTTCTTGGAGGAGGTGGTCTTAGCGGGCGCCGCGGCGGTCTTCTTGGAGGAGAAGAGCGCCGTCGTGGTGAGCCCGAGGCCGCGGGGAACGGCGGCGGCGGCAGGGGAGGCGGTGAGGCGCGGGGTGGAGAGCGCAGCGCCGCGAACGCTGGCGCTGAAGGTGAGGGAGGCGAGAGCCTGGCGGGCAGCGAGAGCAGCCATGGTGTGAGAGTGTGTGTGGGAGCGCCTGAGAGAGAATCTGCTGCGGGAGAAGAGCTAGAAGCTTTGAGTAGCTAGGAGCTCGTCTGAAAGCGCAGCGAGTATTGAAAGTTGATACTTTCGAGTGAAATGAGGAATTTATGCCGACACCATATGCGCGGTTCTGGGCGTCCGCCTAAGCTAAGCGGGTGTTGCGGGGTTGCCAGTCGAAGCGCACAGTTGGAAGGCTCTGAGGTGTGTGGTGGAGGCGCTAATTCGACAAGGCCCACACACCCACGCATTCACCGAATGACAGACCGAGACGCACCACCTCGCTCCTCCCAGACTAGGAAAAGCAGGCTGGCAATGAAAGGGCGACGTGTTCAGTTTTGCATGGTCCATGTTGGCATGCCCTTCTCCCTCAGATTCTGGCAGGCTACATGCTCGACTGCCCATGTTCCTGCCATGTGGTTGCCCCGTCACATCTTGGCCCTCTTACTGGTTGTGGTCAGACTTTTTAAGTGGCTGAGAGTGATTACTCACTGGAACGATGCCACATCAGATCAGCGGAGAACGCGGCATTGACCTACCAAATTTTGGGCCTGCAAGATGCCTCACAGATCCATTGTACCTGCTCTCGTATGCTGAGTCTGTTACGAAGATGTACGTGTGTACGCATATACATCCTGTACCATATCATTTAACACGTTATGTGAATACTTTGGTAGAGTATGATATATACAACAAAAAGTCGTATTGGTCTTCATTTATCGCACATACTAGATATGCTCGTAAAAATCGCAGCCCAGGTGTGCAAATGGAGGCTTGTTGAAGCTGTTGGCCCATAATGCACTAGCAACGTGAGTTTGTGAGGAAGCATAGGGAAAGTTAGTCATAAAGTCACATGTCCAAACCATAGGGACAAGAAGGGATGTCCTCAAGATATTTAGGCTCCACACATCCACATTCCCCAGGGAAAGCCTCCCTAGTACCCTCCCTAAGAGAGAAGCGGTTCGACAGGGCTATCCCAGTGCCATGACGCACCCCCTATTAGAGTAGCGGGAGAAAAGTGACTAAGGGAAAATATCGAGGGATACAAAACTAGGGCTGTACTCACTAAGAACTAAACTAGGTAGGCTATAAACAAATATGACCTAACTAATCTATATAAATATATTATTGAGACACCCCCCAGCCTAGACAGTGGCAGTTCATAACAAGGCAGAGTACACCAAGGCAGCACTACTAGTCCGACCTTTGGTGAAGGCAACAAGGCAACTCAAGGCAGCACCTAGTTTGACCACTGAGACAAGAGGCCACAAGGCCAGTCAGCAAGTGTAGCAAGGCATGCACGTATAGAACAACAAGTACAAGCATGTATAGTATGACTCAAGATGCAACGAGTGGTGCTGCTAGTCAGCCGACTCCCCCACAGGCGCGACCGAGGGGAACTGGGTGGCGTGGGAGACACCAGACTGGGTCGGGCGGGACGGGAGGGGTGCGGCAGGCGGGGAAGGGACAAGGAAGAGAGGAGGAGGAGGCACAGAAGTGCTGCGGTACGGGAAGCGCCGGTAGTAGGGGATTGTCTCATCGAGGGTAACGTTACAAGAGTGGTAAATGCGGTGGTGTGATGGGTGGTAGAACAGCCAGTCAGAGGTGTCAAGCGGAAACCCAAGGAAGACATAAGGAAGGGTGCGGGCTGAGAGCTTGTCTACGCAAGTGTCACGGACGTGAGCAAGGCTGCCCCAGACGTGGAACACAGACGCGTCACCAGGAGACCGGGTAAAACCTGTGAAACCTGTGGCCGCTGGGAGCGCGGCCATCGGTTAGGCTGGTCAGCAGCGTAGTGCACAGCGAACGACCACAAAAACGGCGTGCACCGGCGTGGACCATGGAGGTGCGAGCCACCTCCATGATCAGGTCGATGCGCCGCTCGGTGACCCCATTCTGTTGTGGGGAGTCCGCCAGTGTGTACATCTGGCGGATGCCCTCCGTACGACAGAACTGTCCTACAGTGCCAGAGGCAAACTCGCCACCCCGGTCAGAGTGTAAGCGACCTACAGGTAGGCGGTGGTGGGTGCAAGTAGTGAGAAGCCACGGGAGAAAAACGGTAGGCACGTCGGCCTTCCGCTCCAACGGGAACACTATGGAGAAGCACGAGAAGTCGTCAACGACGACTAGAAAGTAGCGCTCCCGGCTAAGACCATGGACCGGGGCAGGGCCCCAAATGCCCATGTGAAGTGTCTGTAGCGGTGCTGTGGTAGGAGGAAATGAGGAGGAGTGAGGGGCAGCGCGCTGTCGGCCCTCGACGCAAAACATGCATAGTGACACTGCCGACGTAGGTAGGGCGGGGAGCGACTTAGGGAGACTAGTGACTAGACCGTGCTGGAACATGTGCCTAAGACGCGTGAGTGCAGGGTGACCTAAGCGGTGGTGCCATAGAAGGGTCGGATAGGCTATCGAGCGACAGGAGCAGGACGCGGCAACCGCGACAGACGCAGCAGTTGGGGGGGACTTTGTGTACAGTATAAAGAGACCTGACCCTGGGTCACGCTCAAAAGTGGTTGAGTGCCGACTAGTGGCTGTGTCTGTGCAAGCGACGTGTCTCACTGCCAGGGAACGTAGTGGTGACGCCTCGGTCCTGAAGGTGACCGACACCCACTAGGTTCCTGGCAAACGAGGGTATGTGCAGACCGATGAGGGAGCCAGAGGGGATAGCTGGTCAGGGGAGAGTAGTGGTGCTATGTGCGACAGATGTGGCGGAGGAGTCTGCTAGTGCAACGCGAACAGACGCAGAAAGCGGGTTGAGAGTAGTGCTGTCCGTAAAGAAGCAACGAGACACGCCCGAGTCAAAGAAAAGGGAGAGGACCGCCGCATGAGGGGTAGGGGAGGAGCCCAGGGGAAACGTAGTAGAGGCTCCTACACTAGACACGGTGGTGGAACCTTGACCCCTAGGCCCCAAGGCCCCCGGTCCTCCAGAGAAACCATAGTGGCCCCAAGGCAGTGACTGCCCCGTGGTCGCACCTCTAGAGCCCCCACCGCGCCCAACACGCTCAAGTCCCCACTGCGGCTGCTGCCCCTGCTGCGGCTGTGGCAGTGGCCAAAGAGCCCGGAAGCAGACGTCAAGGTCGTGGAGCCAGAAGCCAAGGACGTAACTAATTTGATCCTCTTGAAGCGTGCACTCTAGGTGCGGGCTCACCAGCTGCAGCCGGTGAGCGAAAAACCGACGAGCGTCGGGAAGTGCCCGGTGGTCTAGCCGAGGGACAGACCCTAACAAGGCCATCATGCCGAGAGGAGAGGTGGCGAAGAACTATAAAAACGAGGAGGAGACTAGTGGGAGGCACTTGGTGCTACAGGAGCACTAACTGAGGTAGTAGCAGTGGCGACTGTGGCCGAAGCAGTGGCAGCGAGCAGGAGGCTAGTAGTAGCAGCGACTAGCGGTAGGCTTTACAGTAGCAGGAGCAAGTGAGAGAAAGACGGCAGTGGTGGTCAGCTGGCGGCGGGCTGTAGCTGCTAGGATGAATAGGGAGCAAACAAGGAGGAAGTACATGCGAGAGGAGCTACTAGGAGCAGCACACCGAGGGGCTAGCTGGAGTCACTAGGACTGGCGGCACATGGCGATTGACGGTCCACAGGGCACAGGGGACTCACAAGGCTGGCGGCCGACTGGTGACTGGCAGCCGTCTGGCGAGTGGCGACAGACTGGCGACTGGCGGCTGGCGGCCGATGGTCGGTGGCTGGCCACGAGTGGTGGCAGCTGGCGGCTAACTGCTGGGGGTTGGCAGCAGGTTGCCAGCGGTCGGCTGCTGGCAGCTGGTGACTGGTGTTGGCTGCTGGTGGCCAGGCTGGTGGAGGCTTAAGCTGACGGTTGGCAACAGCAGAGGCGACAGAAGCGGCAGCGGCGGCTACAGAGGCAGCGGCGGCAGCGGTGGGAGCGACAGCTGAAAGGGCAACGGTGGCAGTGCCGGCAGTGGCGGCTGCAGGGGCAGCAGTGGCAGTAGCGGCTACAAGGGCGGCGGTGGCAGTGGCGGCTGCAAGGGCAGTGGCGGCAGTGTCAGCTGGAAGGGCAGCGGTGGCAGCGGGAGCTGCACGGGCAGCAGCGGCAGCGGCGGCTGCAGCTGGCGGTTGCAGCTGGTGGCTGCAGCGGCAGAGGTGGCAGCGGTGTGGCAGCGGCAGTGGTGGCAGTGGCAGTGGCGGCAGCGGCAGTGGCTGCAATAGCTGCGGCAGTGGCGGCGGCGGCAGCACAAGCTGTGGTAGCGGCGGCCGCAGTAGCGGCAGTGGCGGCAGCAAGTGCGGCAGTGGCAGCGGCGGCAGAGCAAGTGGCGGCAGCACAAGTGGCAGCAGCGGCAGTGGCGGCCATAGCTGCAGAAGTAGTTGTGGCGGCAGTGGCTGCAGTGGTGGCTGCAAGGGCAGCGGTGGCAGTGGCGGCTGCAGCTGGCGGCTGCAGTGGCAGAGGCGGCAGCGGCTGTGGCGGCAGTGGCAGTGGCTGCAGCAGCTGCAGCAGTGGCAGCGGCGGCAGCACAAGCTGCGGTAGCGGCGGCTGCAGCAGCGGCAGTGGGGGCAGCAGCTGTGGCAGTGGCAGTGGCTGCAGCGGTTGCGGCTGTGGCAGTGGCTGCAGGCGGCAATTGCAGCAGTAGCGGTGGCAGCGGCAGCAGCAGTGGTTTCAGCGGCAGTGGTGGCGGCTGTCTGGCAACTAGCTGGCAGCAGCTGCTGGCGGCGAGCTGGCGAACGCTGCTGGCGGCGAGCTGGCGGACGTTGCTGGCGGCTAGCTGGCTGGCGCTGCTGGTGAGAAGCTGCTGCTGACGAGCTGGCGGATGCTGGCGGCTAGCTGGCTGGCACTGCTGGCGAGTGGCTGGCAACAGCTGCTGGCGGCGAGCTGGCGAACGCTGCAGGCGGCTAGCTGGCTGACGCTGGTGGCGAGGAGCTGGCAGCAGTTGCTGGCGGCATGCTGGCTAATGCGGCTGGCGAGCTAGCTGGCTAGCGGGTTGGCTAGCGTGCTGGCTAGCGCACTGGCGGGCGTGCTAGCTGCTGGCTGTTGTATGAAACAGTACGAACGCTGGGGGGGGGGGGGGGGGGGGGGGGGAAGTCGAAGTTACGGAGCGCGAAATTGAGAGGGGCATACATGCAAAAGAAGAAGAAAAAGAAAAAGAAGAAGAAGAGAAAA